ATCAAGGAAGGGTTCCTAGAGGAATTTACCTTTAAGCCAAGATCTCAAACTTGGAGTTGCCTGGGTGAAGCAGTCAGGAGGACATTCCTGGCAGAGGAAACAGTGTGCAGAGAGGCTTGGAGGGTAGAGAGCGAGAGGGGCAACAAGGCAAAATAAGGCAGGGCTACCAGGCCTGGGGCTACCAGGCGCAGGGCGATGAATTCTGGGCTAGTGGTTGAAGAGTTGAATTTTCACTTTGGGGAGTGCCATGATCAGAAGTGTGGCTTGAAGGAAAGCCTTAAGTGTTATGCGCAGACACTAGCTTGAGTCTTCGCCTACCCCAGAGAGATCAATTCTAGAGTCCATGTGTCTACCCCAGGAGCTGGGCTTCTCAGATAGTGGGATGATTTGGGGCCCACATTTTTCTTCCATTGCCTTCTGCCTGTTGGGCAGAAGTGGACCTTTCGCTGCTGCCTTTCATGACCGAGGGTCCAGTCTCCATTCAGCCTCTTATTAGTGTGATTATCTTCTTGAGTCATGAGCTGCCCGAAGCCGGCAGTTGCCTGTCAGCCCATCACGGTGCCATCGCCATGAGCTGTTAGAAAGGTTTATGAGGCCAGGATAAACAGCATCAATCAAGAGGGAGAGACAGGCCTCCCGCCTCCTGCTTACAGTGCTGTCACTCAGGGAGAAGGCTAGGAGGGGTTGGAAGGAGAGAAGGGGTGGGAGGCAGGGAGGAAAGAATAGAGAGAAGGAGGGAAACAGGATGAACGAGAGAGGATTGGAGACAAGGAGGAAGCGAGGACAGAGGGCAGGGTAAGAGCTTTCCCGTTAGAGGTGAAGAGAGCCGGCGGCCGCGCCGTTTCCACTGCCATTGGGGCTGCCTCTGAGCATAACCAGGAATTCAGCCCTCTTTCCACTGATGACCTACTACCGTTGTGTGTCTTTGGGTAAGTCCTCTGCCTTTCTGGGCAGCCAGTTTCTCTCTTCCCTTTGGCAGGGCTACCAGCTGCCCTATGCAGAGACGCATGGGCTGCGGAAATGCTCTCAGCCCTTTAAAAGAAGTCCTTTGGAAAGCAGTGAGCTTGGTGCCACTCTTACTTAAAAAGCTTTCCAATTGCTAACTTGTCACCTCATGTGCAGGCAGGTTACTGCGAGAATGTCTTGAACATGCTGGAATAAATAAATTAGCACGGGCACTTAGGGATGCCAGTTTTAATCATAGTTGAGGACTTTGGGGACAAATGCCTTTGCTTCTTCAGTTATCTGCTTTTGGTTTGCAGCCAAAGACCCCCTACCACAAGTTAATAAATTCAGCTCGGAAGACCAAGCTCTTCTTCCTTCTTATCAGCAGAATCAGAGCCGCTGTTACTGCTCTAAGTATTTATGACAGCCATAGAAATTCTTGAGAATTTAAGCAAAGGAGAAGTATTTAAATTACATGAAATTGGAAACTTGGAGGCTCAAGATTTGTTTTGCATTTTTATTAAGCATTTGAGTTTGGGTTTCGGCATTTTGATTTATCTCTTCCCATATATCTTTAGAGTCATCATCCATAGGCTCCACTCCATTGGTTTATTTTGAATGTTGTAAAATGGCAAGAAGCTTATGGGAGCTGCTATACTTGAATTCAGGCAGTACCTGACTGTGGTTTGGTGACTGACCATGAAAAGGAAGTAGAGAGATAAACCCTTTGGGTTTTTTGGTTGTTTTTTTTTTTATCCAGATGGTATATAAAGAATCTTTAAAATGATTTCTTAGGATCACAGTTATCCATCCTTCACTTTAATGAGCACTAGTGACCTCATGCTACATTGGGTATTGATTGGAATCTAATGACTGACGACTTTGGCCATCATGAGTATCCAGTTGGAGGATACCTTGAGTGGCCATGGATTCTCAAAAGCCCACATATTTATTCTCCAGTGTTGTATATCAAAACCCAAGGTCTGAGTGTAGGCCTGACATCATTTCCTTTGTTTGAAGAAGTGCCATTTTGCAAGGATCTTTTTTTTTTTTTCCATCTTCAGTATGTCTGTATTGACAAGTGAAAGGACAATTGCCTCAAAATAGGCCTAAAACCTTGATTCTTTGAAATGTTCAGGATACTCATTCCTTAGTTCCTCTCAACAAATATTTGAGGGGCTACTGTGTGTCAGGCATTATCCTCAGCTCTGGGGTTACAGTAGGAAAGAGCAGGTGATAAAGTTTGTTCTGGAGTTTACATGCTAGTGGTCTCTTCTGGCTGATTATAATTCTGGTATTTTCTAGTGAACTAAAGAACAAATATCCATGGGTCATCTCATCCACGAGGATTTCTTATGTGATTTTTAAAGGCTCTCTGACACCTCTTTTGGGAGTAAGGGAAGCAGGTTGAAAGGCTTCCTAAAATGTCTATCCTAGTGTTCTTAAGAGTTGGATCTCTGAATATTGACATCTTCCAAGGTGGGGCATAAGGCTGAGTATCTATTACTCTGGGCAAATTCTAAGGGTGTAGATTAGACTGAATGTATACTATAACTAGACTGTCTCATGGTGATTGGATTTTTAAACAGTTTCTTACCACTAGCTTGGGTCTTATTTCTCCCTTCTCTCGCAAGGTAGAAACACTAGGGGAAAAATAAGCCCAGTTGAGGTAATGGTGTGGTATACTTAGATTCAGGTGTTGTAAAACATAGGCTTGGGACACTTTGATTCTATTATCCTTTTCAGATGGTTTTTAATATCTTTTCATGGAAGTTTTTGGCATCCTATTCATTAAAATCTGTGTAAGAGGGTTTTGATTTTTTTTAATCGTTTTGTAAGCAGTTCTTGAGGCCTGAGGACACAAATGTGAAAACCCAAATCTGCATGTCTGCCAGGCTGTAAACAGCATAGTGGGGGAGACGAGAAAAGGAGTTACACCTTCGATAATTAGTAGCAAAGTAGAGGTAGGTACACGGTGCTGAGTGAACAGAGACCTGAAGGTGCTTTTTCCATCCAGGGGTGGGGGCTGAGGATGGAAGGTCAGGGGACTGGAAAGGAAGCTTATAAAGGCTTCACAGAGGAGGCAGATCCTTAGTTCTTGACCGTGGACTCCTAGCTGAGTTTCTGGGCTTAACTCTGATGGAGACATCAGAAAGGAAATTAATATTTTATGTATTTTACATAGATGATATATATACTGGGTTAAGGAGAGCTGCCATTTATAGAACGCTCACTGTGTGCTAGGCATGGCTTGAAGCATTTTATTGCCATCCGATAATCTATTTCCCACAGCTCTTCCTCTAAAGTAGGTGGTATTACTCCATCTGATAGACGAAGAAACTGGCCCAGAGAGATTGAGTGATATGGCTCAGATCACCCAGCTAAGAAGCCATAGAGCTGAGATTCAAACTGCAGTATCTTTGCCTCCAAAGCCAGTGCCCTAACCTCTACATATATTGTGTTTTTGTGGTGCTGCTGTGGCAAACTCACCCCCTCTACCCCATGTAGATAGCTTAGGCTATGTCTTGTAGGGATTCCTCCATACTGCACCGTGAGCACCTGGGCCTTTCTTCCTTGTCACTGGTATTGATTTCCAGTTAATTCAACACAACCTCTTTCTGCCACTTCTCCAAGGAGCTAGGTGCTATTATCCCAAGAGTGTGTTTCAGACCTAACTTGGACTTACTGTGTGGTCTTGGATGAGCCACTTTTAAGTCTCACTCTCCCATTTTCTCTGTGTGTTACCACTTTGGGAATAGGATTATTAGTAATTCTATTGGTATTAAGCAATATTAGCATTTCTGGCTAAAGATGAGGTGCGCCTGCCAAGAGACGCATGAAATGATGCTCAACTCATCAGAGAATGCAAAACAAAACCACAGTGAGATCACCTCGCACCTGTCAGAATGGCTAATATCAAAAACACCAGAAACAAGTGTTGGAGAGGATGCGGAGACAAAGGAACCCTCGTGCGCTCTTGGTGGGAATGCAAATTGGTGCAGCCACCGTGGAAAACAGTACGGACGGTCCTCAAAAAGTTAAGAATAGAAGTACCATATGATCTAGTAATTCCATTACTGGGTATTTACACAAAGAATACAAAAACACTAATTCAAAGGGATACAGGCACCCCTCTTTATGGTGGCATTATTTACAATAGCCAAGATATGGAAGCAGCCCAAGTCTTTATCAATACATGAATGGATAAAGAAGATGTGTGTGTGTGTGTGAGAGAGAGAGAGAGAGAGAGAGAGAGATTCAAAGAATGAAGTCTTGCCATTTGCAACAACGTGGATGGAGCTAGAGAATATAATGTCAAGCGAAATAAGTCAGAAAGACAAATATCATGTGATTTCACTTGTGGAATTTAAGAAACAAAACAAAGGGAAAAAACAAGAGACAGACCAAAAACCGGACTCTTAACTATAGAGAACACACTGATGGTCACCAGAGGGGAGATGGGTGGAGGGTAAGGGGGAAATAGGTGCTGGGGATTAAGGAGGGCACTTGCTGTGATGAGCACCAGGTGATGTACGAAAGTGTTGAATCACTATATTGTACACCTGAAACTAATATAACACTGTACATTGGAATTAAATTTTTTAAAAAATTTAAGAAAAAGATGAGGTGAGATGCTTTCGTCTATGCCTTTTGTGCCGAGTGGGGCTACAGCTGGACTGATCCACTCCGAACCGTCCCATCTTCTATGGGGAGGTCATAGTAGCCTTTCAAAGAGCCTAAAACCTCATCACAGCCCGGTCCGTTTCTCAGTCTCCACACATTTCTGTGATGCCCCATCACTCCAAGACTGTCGTCAGTGCAGTTGTCTCTGCTTTAGATGCTGACGACCTTGCCCCAGCTGTCCCTGGAGGACAGCGGCCCGATGAGTAAGTTCTGAAGCTCGTGAGCTGCCTCTAGCATTTCACATGGCTGCACCGATTGAACAGACCCCAGGATGGGCCTTAGCACTTGGTTGGCCTCAAGGGTCCTGAACATCACTACTCAAAGTATCTGGGGTGATCGTTTATTTTTCTGACTTGTGTTTCCTTTTGCAGCAAATGAAAAGATTGAAGACATCAATGGCTGTCCGAAGAACAGATCGCAAATGGTAAGTGGTACACAGCTGGCGAGAGTATTTGTGTGAGAGAAGGAAGCCCTGCCTCTCAATGATACTGGCCATCTTGAAAACATTCCCACCATAAGCTTTTCTCTAGGGGATTATATTAATAAACTAACAGCTATTTCCAAGTAGCTGCAGTCGGCTTCTCTGACATTTGTTGGCATTTACTAAAAAGTGACCGTGATTTTTTACGTAGCTGGTGAGACAGGGAACATGAAATACTGCCCTTTCTTTCAGAAACAAATTATGCAGACCTGGTGGAAACATACACTTGTTGAGAATTTGGACCATTGTGACTCATTCTGCTTTCTCAAAGACACACAAGGATCTCTGTATGTGGTGCTGAGGCACAGATGAGGTCATGGTATCTTGCTCAGAAATCGGGGCATGTGGTCTGATTGCCTTTAAAGGTTAGGATGATGTGAAATCACAATGGTGACAGGAGATGTGAAATGTATAATCATATCCAGACCATTCTTAACCTTGACAAGTGATATTCTCCCTGGTGTCATATGCTTAAGCTCTGATATTAAAGCTTTTTTTAAAAAAATGAATCTTTTAACATCTGTTCTTGTTGTATGTCCTGTGCATGATCTTTGAATTAAAATTCATGATCACTGCTTAGTTCAGAAAACATTAAATTGCAGTGCTCTGAGTACCTGGTTTTTCCCTTCAAAGGGCTTTCCAAACAGTCTTTGCACCAGGTATGTATCTATCAGGCTGTTAAGATGATGCTACTACCCGTTTAAAATACAAATGTGGCAACTTCAGGATAACTTCTTATTTTTGCAGGACATTAATTTGCTTCCAGAAACCTAAGAAAAAGGCATAATCTGTTTTTTCGGACCTCCCCATACTCCCTTTGAGTTGACACATTTCATAGTGTCATTCGGGAATATAACAAAGCGATTTTCATTCCTTGGTTTTCCCTTTCAGTTTTTCCAAGTGCTTGTTATCCCAGTGAGTTGGACAGATAACATTTTTGGCCCAATTTCTTTTGCATGCATAAAAACACATTTTTTATTCTGAAGAGGAATATGGGTGGTGGGGAGTCCTTCTTCAGTTTACACTGTGAAACAAGTTTCTCTTATTTGTTGGTCATTTCACTGGAGATTTTTGTTTCTTTTTTTTGATCTGGAGAGCAACCCCTCCTTCCGTAGGAAAGTCCCCATGCAGACATCTCATGGCTGCTTTGACTTCTGGAAAGCTTGGCTGCTATTTTTGCTAGTGCTACGGCAGCTGTCTAGAGTATTAATAATTGAGAAAATTTGGAAGATAGAAGACTTAATTTAGTGCAAGCATTTCACACAGGCAGTCATATCTTTACATGAAAGAGATGCAGTCGTTCCCCTTGAGACAGATACGGATGCATTTGTCCCAGCCCATTATAATGCATACAGAGACCTGACATTTGAAGGTAATGAACCTTTTATTCTCTTTGGCACTTTTGTATTTTCTGAGCTTTCTGTTGGAGGTGTGAAAGTCCACTTTTCAAGATTATAAAATAATAACGCCACCTCAGATTCTTTGGTGCAAACTTAGTTCTATATGCCAAATGTTATTTATAAATGCTACCCTGGCACCAATGTAATTTTGTGGTTTCTCTAACTCTTTCAGCTGTGAAAGTATTGTTTTCTTTTTTTTTTTTCATGGCCTGTGGGTTTTTTTTTTTTTTTAGAACACAGGAATATAAAATCCTATAATTGTCTGTGATAATTAGTTCCAGCTTAGGGGCGGGGAGGCAGACACGGTCTGGTGGTAAATGTAGCAGAGAATTGTTCAGCGTACGGGATGTGAGGCCAGGAAAATGTGAAAACCTCCACCACAGTCATTCCATTCTGTAGGAAATAAGATGATAAAGACAACAGGGCCATTGTCGTTAGCCCTGTATCACAAACTGTGACAAATCCATAAGACGGAACCTCACCTAGAGCACACAGGAAGTCCTTCTTGGACAAGCACAGGTGTTGTTCTGTCTACTAGGACCCCCGTATGTGTGTGCGTGCGCGCACCTGTACGAGAGCATATACAGAGCCCATGCATTTCTACTCATGGGAAGCACACTTTGGGAATACGACACAGTGGGTGAGCCACCATTTCTAGGTTCCTAGAAGATTAGGCTCCCAATTAGACTTTATTTCGGGCAGCCCATGATAAAGATTTGCTGTTGCTTGCTACAAATTGCCTATTTGGGGGAGATAGAGAGGAAAACGTGGGGAGCACCTTGTTGGCAAGAGGAAGATGACCCCCAATGAGGTGAGAACATGGGGAGTGCACCTGTTTGGAAGGCAACTGTGCCTCCCTTGAAAATAATCAACAGAGTCAATGTGCTCACTCCCTAAGAAAACACAGCCTCTTCAGGAGCCTTGAAGAATGGAGCCGAAGAAAAGCAATCCTGGGGGCACCTGAGTGACTCAGTCATTAAGCGTCTGCCTTCGGCTCAGGTCATGGTCCCAGGGTCCTGGGATCGAGTCCCACATCGGGCTCCCTGCTCAGCAGGAAGCCTGCTTCTCCCTCTCCCACTCCCCCGGCTAATGTTCTTGCTCTCGCTCTCTCTGTCTCTGTCAAATAAATAAATAAATAAAATCTTAAAAAAAAAAAAAAAAAAAGGAAAGCAATCCTGGGGGCACCTGAGTGGCTCAGTCATTAGGCTTCTGCCTTCGGCTCAGGTCATGGTCCCAGTGTCCTGGAATCGAACCCCACATCGGGCTCCCTGCTCAGCGGGAAGCCTGCTTCTCCCTCTCCCACTCTCCCTGCTTGTGGTCCTGCTCTCGCTCTCTCTGTCTCTGTCAAATAAATAAATAAAATCTTAAAAAAAAAAAGGGAAAGCAATCCTGGTTTAGAGCAGGAGGAATGGGTGCTGTTCCAGTTGTCAAGGGGCAGGTTCGGTCCATCAGCTAATCTGTGAGTAGAGCCAAGAGCTTTGATTTTTGTGGGTAGGAGGCCCAGCCCCCACACTTCTCCCAACCCACCAGGTTGCTCAGCGGCTCAGGTCTCAAATTCCCGCACTCTGGGCTCTGCTTCAAATGTTCCTTTCCAGGGGGCTGGGGAACTGAGAGCAGATAGCTCCGGCATTGGGACTAGAAAAATCCCAGGGACCCTGAAGCACAGACGTGATGGGTGTGGCATTGTCCCTTTGAGCCTGCTGATCAGCAAATCTTCGCAGAGTGCTGACCAATGCTGGCCACTGGGTGGGCCATGTGAACGCTCAGGTGAACAAGATAGGGTCCCTGCCCTCCAGGAGCTCCGTGATGGGTGGGCAGGAGAGCAGAGAATAACAGTGTGGCTGTGTGCACAGACATCTGTGCACATGGCACAGTGGGGGCCCATTGCATCCGAGAACGAGGGAGGTCTAAGAGTAACTGCCAGGGAGTGAGTCTGAAAGGCAACAGGGTTCACCACAGGGGAATGATGGGTGGAAGAGGTTTCACATTCCTGGAAAATGTGAAGTAAAGCTTGTTGGGGACCCTGCAAAGGAAGGTTTTGCAGCATTTGCTTATGATCCTCCTGAGGTGCCATAAGCTGTATCTGGTGAGACTCCTCTCCTGCGGTGAGGAGTGGGGCATGGAAGAGCCCAGAATACAGGAGACCCCATAGGCAAGGCAGTCTTCGGGTCTAAAACAAATCTTCTGCATTCATCATCACTCCCCGGATCACTGCATTTTGGGGAGCAACCCCCCACTGGGCCCTGGAGTGAAGTATTTTTAAAGGAAAATACCCATGGTCATCCAGCCCTGGAGAGGGAAGTTCAGTCGTGGGATCTGGGAACTGAAAATGCTGCCTGGTGGGAAATGGTAGTTTATGAGTTTATTATTTGCTCTGACTTTTATCTGCACAGTGCCATAAGGTCTGTGAGCCCATTCATGCTTATGGGCACATCCCACCCTCTCGATGCTGCTGTGGGCGCACGTGGTGGAGATCTGTCCCCAGGGTGAGGCAGAGCCAGAACCATCAGCATATACTGTGACCCTCTGGGGGCCCTCGTAGTATGGGACCGTGACTGTGGGCACGAGGTGGAGAGGCATGGCAGGGACTTGCCTTTCCCTAGCCAGCTGGCCTCAGCTTGTGTTGGAAGGAGTCCTTTGGGCAGTTTCAGGCTGACCTCCACACTTTTGGGGGCAGTGGCCTTGGAGATGGAGCTGTGGAAATGCTCCCTTCCCCCTCTCACCCACCAGGCCGTCCGTTGGGCCCTTAAATAATTTTGTTTGTGTGCGTCAGAGCTGGTTAAAATGTTTTGTCTGTTTAGCATTGCTGTGGCAACCCAGGGGCATCTTTTTGGTTTTCAAGTACTGTGTTCAGCAGAGTTATGCATTAGTTTGGAAGGAGAAACATTGCCTGGAGCCTGGCCCGAGGGCACTGCCTCTCCCCAGACCCCTGGGCTCCAAGACATTGCCTCACTCTGGAGCCTAGGAATGGCTGCTGCGGGGGACAGTTTTCTTTTTTAATCATTATTATTGTACAGGGCTTGGCTTTCTGTTGTCGATGAGGAGAGGTGCAAAGTTAGCAAGGCCTGCTGGCTCTTTCAGTGGAAAGCCCCAGGCCTGTTCATCCCTCTGGTCACTGATCTCAGGCCCGGGGTCATCTGGGGCCTCCGGAGCTCTCCAAGAGCTCTGCCTTCTTCCCTTGGTGCTTCTATTTTTTATTTTATGTTTTATTTTAAAGATTTCACTTATTTATTTTTAGAGTGTACAAGCAAGGGGGAGGAGCAAAAGGGGAGAGAGGAAGGGCGAAAGAATCCCGAGCCGACTCTGCACTGAGTGAGGAGCCCGATGTGGGGCTCAAGCTCACGACCCTGAGACCATGACCTGAGCTGAAACCAAGAGTCAAACCAAGAGTCAGACGCTTAACAGACTGAGCCTCCCAGGCACCCCCTTCCTGTAGAGCTTCTAGACGGAGAGCCATCTGGGCTTGAGAATCTTGCAGCCTGAGTTCAAGTTCCTTCTCTGCTATTCTGTGGCCTTGAGCTGATTATTTAACCTTTTGAAAGC